GCACTCATCCCACACCACACACCACACCACACCATGCACACACCACACCGCACGCCACGCCGTGCTCACCCAGGCCGCGGAACACGTCGCCGCGCGCGTCGGCCAGCGTCTTGCCCTGCTCCCGCGTCACGCTGGCAGCCAGCTCATCCATGTGCCGGTTGATGAGCTCCTGGGGAGGGGGAGGGGGCCCCCGAGCAGGTGCACCGCGTGACAGGCAGCCATGTCGAGCGCAGCCTGCCCTCGCCTCGCTCCCCGTGGTGCCGCCTGCCTGGTACCACAAGCCTACCTGCCTGCGCGCCACGCACTTCCACCACCCGCCCGCACCCACACACAGGCCGTCCCGCCCACCTGAAGGCGCAGCATGACGCGCGCGCGCAGCGGCACGGGCGTGGTGCGCCACTTGGGGAAGGCGTCCTTGGAGGACTGCACCGCCGCGTTGAACTCCTCGCCCGTGCACAGAGGCAGGCGGGCCACCACCTCCTGCGTGGCCGGGTTCCTCACATCCACCCACTCCTTGGTCTTGGAGTCCAGGAACTGGCCATCGATCAGCAGCTTCACCGTCTCCTGCAGGGCAGCAGCAGCAGGCGGGGTGGGACGGTGCGACGGCAGCACCGCAGCCGCCAGGTGGCGGGCAGCGGCGGCGGCGGCGGCAGGACGCCCGCGCGCCGGCGTGCGGCGCACCGTGGACGCTGCGACGGGCTCTGCGGTGCCTGCCAAGCCTCGCGAGCTCAGGTCCAGCCCCAGGGAGGCACCCGTCCGCAGCTGCCGGGTTGCGGAGCGCAGCATTCCTGCCCTCTTCCCTGCAGCGGTGACAGGCTGCCGAGGCGTTGATCAAACCAACAATACAGCTCCCAATCATTACCCTTACTGATGCTGACGGGGCAGGCGCCAGCCGCACCACGGCCCCCAGACAGCAGGCTTCAGGAAGCCTCAACTTTCAGTGCTGATTCGGCTTGTCCAGTTGCAGCAGAATGCATCTATTTATAGGCGCACAGCCTCAGGGGGTGAGGGTTTACCAGGCCGGGGGGACAGTGGCGGCGCCAAGGCTGCAAGGCGGCAAGGCGGCAGCAGAGGGGCCACCTCCGAGCTGTACTCTTGGAGCAAGCTGATGTACCCTCCGTCAATCGAGATGACATGATCCCAGCAGCAAACCGAAGAAAACCACGCCTGCCGGCTCCTGTGGGCGAGGCGGGAAGGGGGAACGTGCTGGTGCCACCGCGCATCCGTCCCGAAACCGGGGCTCCTGCCAGCTGGTTGTTGTCGTCGACATCTGCATCTACACCAGCGAAACTCAATTCATCATCAAGAATGCCTGAGCTCTTCTGCAAAAATACACCTGCAAAGGGGCTGGGCCGCCGCAAGGAGCAGGGAGCAGCGGTCCGACACCACCAGCACAATGGGCAGTGCCCCCCCACCAGTTCCCCGATTCGGCAGGCCTTGTGGGATTCCGATGGGGCAGCTGATGATGTGTGCTTGGTTGGGTGCGGTTGTGAGCAGCGCAAGCGACCGCAGAGCCAATTTGTCCTGCCCCTGGAGGTACAGGGGTTGGAGCCGATGCCCCGCCCTGCCTTTCCGGTCCTCCGGCGGTAGCAGCGCACCGTTCACGAAGTGCTGCTTGCTGCCGCTCAAGCGAAAGCTGTCCCTCACCCCAACGCGATCACGTGCGCACAGATCAGGCAGTGCGTGCTGCCTGGATGCCATCATAAGCTGCTGATGGAAGCTGCCGCTGTCGCCGCGGGCTGCGCTGCGGGTGCCGCCTGAGGCGGCTTCCTGCTGCCGCCACCTGCGCCTCCGCCTCCCTGCTGGCCACCCGCTCTGCTGACGCCGGCGGCCCTCGCCTCTCCCTCCCTGCTGTTCCCATCAGATCGCCCCTGAGCATTCCCTTCCCCTGCCGTGAGCTCGCCCATCGTTCTCCACTGCCGCCGCCGCCATGGACAAGCTCAAGGAGGTGGACTGGCGGGGGCTGTACAAGACGGCCACCAACAAGGTGAAGAAGTACACGCTCAACCTGACAGACCTGGAGATCAAGGTGGAGGAGGCCACCAGCGCCGAGACGTGGGGTGAGGCCCGGGCCGGGTGGTGGGCCGCGCGGCGGCGCTTGTTTCGCCACCGCAGGGCTGGACAGGCCGGCAGCGGCGGGAGAGGGTGCTGGGATGTGGGGGGCTTGCCTCCAGCGTGGGGAGCCCGTGGGTTCTGCAGCACCTGACCCGCCCCCAATGCCGCCGTTGTGGCCGCCGCCGCAGGCCCGCACGGCAGCGTGATGAACGGTGAGCACGCGAGCAGCGGGCGCGGCAGCCAGCGCGCTTCGGGCACACCCAGCCGGTCGCATCCGCCAGGCCGTGTGCGGCAGCGTGTGCTGGTGCCGCTGCGCGCGTCCCCACCGCTGGCCGTCGCGTGCCTGGCCCTGCAGAGATTGCTGACGCGGCATTCGACCCAGAGAACTACCGCCAGATCATGGGCGTGTTGGCGCGGCGGCTGCAGGAGCGGGTGAGGCGTGGCGCGGCGCGGCGGGGGTGGAGGCATTCACTTGTGGATGGGCGCGCTGCCAGCGTGTGTTGCACACCGTCGGCACGTGGCACCTGGCCAGCCTTTGGTTCCCCAGCCATACCTCGCTCGCCACCAGCCTGCGTCCCTGCCCCAGTCCCCCTGCCCATACAAATTGTACCCGCCTGCCCGGCCCCCCCCAGGACGAGAACTGGCGCATGTGCTACAAGGCGCTGCTGCTGCTGGAGCACCTGATCAAGCACGGCCCCGGCAAGGTCATCGGCGACGTGCAGAGCAGCGCGGCGGTGCTGGACCGGCTGCAGCACTTTGAGTACAAGGACCCAAACATGAGGGACCACGGTGGGTGGGGTGTGGGTGTGGGCGCATGGTGGTGGGGGGGTGGAGGGGGCCATGTGTGGAGGCAGGGGGCTTGGCCATGGGTAGGGGTGGGCGTGGGAGCCAGGACAGGGTGCTTTCCATTGTGGACGGGGCGTGAGCTTGCCCTGCAGCCTGAGCGGGTCGCTGCCCGCCACCGATGCCTGCCCCTGCCTTGCCGCCTGGCAGGCGTGAATGTGCGGCACCGCGCCAAGGAGATCCTGCAGCTGGTGAACAGCCCAGAGCGGCTGCGGGAGGAGCGAGAGAAGGTGTGTGGGAAGGGGGCTCTGTGTGTGTGTGTGTGTGTGTGTCGGTGTGGCGGTGTGGGGACCGCCTGCTGCCTGCTGCCTGCTGCCTGCTGCTGGCTGTGCGCACGCTTTGCCGGCCAGCCGCCGCCTGCGTGCCGGCCAGCAGGGCAGGCAGCGTGCCCGGCAGCGCGCCAGGCCCCTGGCGTGCCCAGCACCGTCTGCCTGCCCGCCTGGCGAGGCGCCCATGCCCGCTCCTGCTGCCCGCCCGCCAGCCAGCCAGCCGCCACCTGGGGCCACCTCACCTCAAACCTGCAGGCCAAGTCCAATCGCTCCAAGTACCGCGGCGTGTCTGCAGATCAGATGCGATCCTCCTCCTTTGCCCGCGCAGCCTCAGACCACTACAGCAGCTCCACCAGCGGCAGCCTGTACCCGGGCGGCGGCGGCGGCGGCGGCGGCGGTGGTCTGGGTGGCGGCAGCAGCCTGGGCGGCGGCGGCCTGGGCGGCGCCGGCAGCGGCTATGCCGGCGTCAACCGCAGGTGCGCGCTGCCCCTCCTGCTGCCCCATCGCTGGCCTTGCAGTGCAGGGCAATGCTCTGCATGGGCTCGCCCCTCCCATATCCTCCCCTCCACAGGAGCACTCGACTTTGCCCCCTTGTCCGCCCCGCGCCCCATCCCACGCCCCACAGGACCGACTCTTATGACGAAACCGACGAGGGGGCGCACTACATCTCAAAGCGCGGCGGCGGCGGCGGCGGCGGCGGCCTGCTGGACGCAGGCGCCGGCAGCAGCTCGTCCGCGGCGGCGGGCGGCGGCGATGGCGGCGGCGGCGGCGGCGGCGGCGGCGGCGGCGAGGATGCGCTGGCCGCCACCCGCGCCCGCATCGACCGGCTGAAGCTGGAAGACAAGGCGCCGCCTGCAGACGGTGAGCGGGGTGGCGGGGCGGCGGCGCCAGCTGTGAGCTGTGCCCTGGGCAGGGAGGCAGGCGCCCTGCCTGTCGCCAGCCGCCCAGCCCCACACTCTGCCTTCCAGCCTGCTGCCTTCCAGCCGGCCTGCCCTGCCTGCCTGCCTGCCCACGCCCTGCCCTCGCTGCCTGCCTGCCGGCCTGCCTGCCCGCAGAGAAGAAGCGGCTGACGGATGTTCGCGTCAACCCCAAGATTGCCGCCTCGCTGGGCCTCGCAATCCCGGCGGCGGCGCCCCCCAGGCCCGCAGCCGCAGCCGTGGCAGCCGCTCCTGCGGCGCCGGCGGCTGGCCCCGCTCCCGCCGGGGCCATGGACCTTCTGGGGGGCCTGGAGGAGCCCCAGGCTGCCGCCGCGGCGCCGCCGCCACCCGCGCCGCCGGCCCCGCCCGCGGCCGCCAGCTTCGACCCTTTCGGCGCTGCGGCGCCCGGCCCGCCGCCCGCCGCCGCGGCGCCGCAGCAGGGCTGGGACGCGTTTGGGGGGGCTGCCAGCGCTGCGCCGGCCCTCGCTGCCGCCCCCGCGGCCCCTCTCGACATGCTGGGTGGCCTGGACTTTGCCGCGCCAGCCGCCTTCCACCAGCCGCCCGCCTTCCACCAGCCGCTGGCCGCGGCGCCGGCCCCAGCCGACCCCTTTGCAGCCTTCACCGCCAGCCCGCCCGCCACAGCAGCGCCCGTGCCGTTTGTGGCGGCCAGGCCGGCGGCTGCGGCGCCCCCCGCGCCGCTGCCGACCGTGGCGGCGGGCGTGCCTGCGGCTCTGCCCGAAGACATGTTTGCTGATCTGACGGGCATCGGGGGCAGGCAGCACCAGCCCATGGGGCTCAGCCCGCACACCGGCCCCTCCCCACCGGCACCCTCCCCGCCTGGCATGGGCGCCGCAGGGGCAGGCATGGGGTGGGGCATGCCAGCCGCCTCCCCGCCCTCGCCAGGCGGCGGCTTTGGCAGCTTCAGCGGCGGCGCCATGCCCGCCGCCGCCATGCCCGTCGCCGGCGCGGGCACCGGGCTCACGCCGCCGGGCGCCGGGTTTGGGGCGGCGCCGGGTACGGGGGCCCACAGCCGCTCGGGCAGCATGGGGGGCCCTGTGGACCTCGGCAGCCTCAGCTACAGCAGCCCCGCGCAGGGCGGCGCCTCGGCGGCCGACCCGTTTGCCGACCTGATGAAGTGAGGGCGGTGCGCTGAGGTGGCGCTGAGGCGGCGATGCACCCTTTATTACACGTGTAGCGGCTGCCCAGCAGCCTGCCTGCCATTTGAGCTGCTGGTCGCCATCCTTGTCAGCACCTGTTGTTGCCTGCACACCTGTTTTTGAACGCCTCTGTTATTCTGCCTGTCCTTTTCGGATCAAGAGCAGCACTCGCGCCAGCCTGCTGCTGTATGCGTGAGTGCCCTTTCCGCATGCATGCACTCTCCTCCTCTTGGCCTTGTGACTCCCGGAAGGCTCCAAAGCAGCACCACAAGGCCTCGCCGCGCCCCGGGCTTCCTTTCCCTTACAGCATGGTCAGCTCCGCCCCGGTGGCCCCCCAGGTGGGCTGCAGCAGGTACACCGCCCGGCCCGCTGAGCAGATGAGCGGATCGCCGCGCCGCGCGCCGCACGTGGTGGCGCCTGGCGTGAAGCCGGCGGCGCCGCGGCTGATGGTGGCGCCGGTAGCTGTGCAGTACAGGCTCACCAGCTGGCTGCGCTCGCAGCCGGTGGCGACGGCGGCGCCGCCGGCCACGAAGCAGGGCTGGTAGATGGCGGTGATCCTGCGTCGGCGGCGGCGGCGGCGCAGGCACGGGGAAAGGCAGCAGGCAGGAGTGGGCTGTGAACACATGAGGGGTGGGCTGATGTCCAACCGCTAGGGTTGGCTGCCCAGAGCGGCGGATCGTGGCGCGCGGGCGCGGCGCCGGCGCTGGCGCCCTGCGCCGCCCACCTGGCGCCCGCCGCGTGGCCCAGGAGGCGGTGCAGCGGCTGGCCTGGGCGGCGCAGGTCGTGCAGCAGGATGGCTGGATCGTGGCTGGCTGTGAGCAGGAGGTTTGTGTCGGCCGGGTGCCAGCGCAGCACGTTGACGGCGCTGGCGTGGGCGCCCTCCACCGCCACGCTGGCGCCTGCAGGCACGCGCCAGTGGCGGCGGCAGCGGGCAGGCCGGCAGGGCAGGGGGAGGCTGGGGCTGAGCGCAGCCTTGCAGCTGCCGACAGCTTGCTCCATGGTGCGACAGCGCTAGCCGCGCAACACGGCACCATGCCCCACCACACATGCCGCTTGCCCAGCTGGGGAGATTACCTGCGGCGGGCGGCTGCCGCGTGTCCACCACACACACGCTGCGGTCGTTCCCGCAGGAGGCAAAGGTGCCGCCGCCCTCCCGCCACCTGGCGCACTTGACCACCCCCTCGTGCAGCTCGTCGTACCGCTGTACCGCAGCCAGACTGGCGGTACCGCCCAGGCTGCTGACCTGGTGGTCCACGGTGCCGTCCTTGGAGGCCGTCACCAGCCGCCCGCCCCGCTCATGCAGCGAGAAGATGCCGCCTGCACAGCAGGCACAGCAGGCGCCGGCGCCGGCACACGGCATGCGCACTCAGCCCCATGGCGGCATGAGGGCACTGCACCAGCAGCCGAAAAGGCTGTCAAGCACGCACACGCACAGGGAACGCCCGCCCCTTGGCGCAGCCAGCCAGCCAGCCAGCCAGCCCAGCTCACCATCGTGCAGGTGGCAGGCCCTGGCCAGGCACTGAGGCACCAGCCCCCCCTTGCCGCCGCCGCTGCCCGCCGAGCGCCCCAGGTCCCACAAGCACACGGTGCCGTCGTTGCCGGCGGTCAGCAGCAGCGGGACGTCACCCCCGCCCCCGCCGCTGCTGCCGCCGCTGCCGCCGCCGTGGGTGCTGGCAGCTGGGGCGGATGCAAACTGCACGTCGCTGACCCAGCCCTTGTGCAGCTTGTGGCTGAGCAGCGGCGCCACCGCCTCGTCAGCCGCCAGGCGCCCGCTCTCCAGCTGGCGGCTGCCATAGATGCTGACCACCCCGTCCTTGCCGCCGGCCTGCAGGGCAGCAGCCACATCCCCGGTGGCGACCGGGCAGGATGGGGATGCTGCCTGTGCTGCTTCCTCACAGAGATACCTCAGGCAGTATGGGGCTATGGGGCACGGAGGCGGCTGTTGCGCTGGTTCCCAGCTGCTCGTTGACAGCAGCTGGCGTTACCGTGCAGCAGCAGCAGCAGCAGCAGCAGCAGCAGCAGCAGCAGCAGCAGCAGCAGCAGCAGCGCGCAGCCCGACCCACCACAAGCAGCCCCGGCCTCCAGTCCACGCTGTACGCCCGCGCCAGCGCCGGGTCGTGCAGGCAGCCCGGCAGCTGGCGGAAGCCGGTGACGCGACCGCCGGGTGCGTCGTCGCTGCCGCTGTCGCCTCCTGCTGGCTCTGCCGGCGCTGCCAACACCTCGCACACATACCGCCGCACAGAGCTGTCGTCATACTCTAGCTCCGGCTCGGGATCCGACGCAGCATCCAGCTGCGGGGCTGCTGCTGCCAGGCCCGCTGCGCCGGCCTGCACGTTGACAGCAGGGTACCCACGTGCATGTTCATGGCATGCACATGTGTATGCTGAGCGGCAGCAGAGCAACGTTGCAAGCAAATGTACCATGCAACGGGCATGCCCCGGCAGGCCAGGCAATCATCACCTCGCTGCCCGCCGCGGCGCCGCGGGTCCGGCCCGATCGGCGCACGGGCGCCGCCGCGGGCGCCACGTCCCCTGCCGCCGCCCGCCTGCGGGCAGGCTGCTTCCTGCGCTGCGGCGGCTGCTTCCTGGGCTCGATGCCCGGCGCGCCCAGGCCCATGCTGACCATCATCTGCATCCCGGCGGGGAGCCAGGGGGTGGTGGGGCGGCGGCAGAAGTGGGAGCAGAGATTGTCGCCTGTATTCACGCAGGCAGGAGAGACAGGCTCCCTCCACCTCACCTCCTGGTTCCGGCGGATGCGCTCCAGCCGCTGCAGCTCGTAGTCGGTGAGGCGCCCGCCGCCACCGGCCGCCCCAGACCCGCCTGCTGCTGCGCCGGTGGCGGCTGGACCAGATTCGAAGGCCGCGTGGCTCGCCGCCGCCGCTGCTGCATGGACGGCGTCGCCGCCCTGGCTGCTGCTGCCAGGCACACCAGGCATGGCGCCATCGTCGCTGCTGCTGCTGCTTCTGCTGGTGCCGGCTGAGGCTGGGAGCTGGGTATCATCTGCCTGGGGCCCTCCCGGCTCTGGCTGCTGCTGCTGCTGTGGTAGCGGCAGGGCTGGCCTGCTTCCGATTCCTGCCGGCCGCTGCTGCTGCATGCCGCCGTCTTGTTGCTGCGCCTGCTGCTGCACGCATGCCTGCGCCACGCGAGCACCGCGCTCCGGCTGCGGCACAGTCGGCAGGGCACTGCCTGCTGCACCCTGCTGCCCTGGGGGAATAGCTGCTGCTGCTCCTGCTGCTGTTGTTGTGGTTACAGCAGTGTCTACAGGCACCGCCGCTGCTGAGGCGGCCCCGCAGGCAAAGGATGACAAAGGCGGCGGCGGGCACGAGGCGGGGGCCTCCCGCCGCTGCCTGTTGTCAGCTGTCGCCGCCGCCACCGTCACCAGTGGCTGCAGGCTGGCACGGATCGGTTCCTGGTGCGTCAATCGTGCTGAATCATCCGGCTGCTCCTCGGCCTTGGGCCGTGGCAGGAGAGCAAAGTAGGACAGCAGGGACCGACCATCGACCTCGGCTTTGCGCTTCTTCATACTGCTGGGGCAATGCGGCCACGAGCAGAGAGTGAGGCAAGCGGATCACAAGGCTTGCTGCTACAGGCCGAGCCAAGGCTCAGCAGGGGCCCAGCATGGCCGCACCGGCATCTCTCTCTCTTGCAGAGCATTGTAATCCCCCAAGGTACTTGTGGATCACTTCCGAAGGCCTCGCCAGCCGGCCCTCTTGCAGTCGTTGAACGCCCTTCAAGAGGCAGCGTGCTGTAGGGCTCATGAACAACTCCGATAGCATGTCCTCCTTCGAGCAAGTTGACCTGGCTGCAGCAGCAGAGACGCCCGAGTCGCCAGGCGATAAACCCTCGACACCCAGCGAGCAGCCGGCCGAGCCCACGGCCCAGCCAGCTGCAGCACAACGCCCACCTGCAGTTGCAGAGACGAGCACGGCAGCCGCAGCAGCGGCACCAGCGGCGGCGGCACCGGCGGCGGCAAAAGCGGCGGCTGCCGCGCCAGCGGGTGCCACGCCCACAGCGCAGGCCGCCGCTGCCCTCCAGTCAGTGCTGGGCTTCCTGGGCGCCGCAACTGACCAGCAGGATTCTGAGGCAGAGGAGGAGGAGGAGCAGGAGGAGGAGGGGGAGGGGGAGAAGGTGGATGATGAGCCCGAGCCGCCGTTGGAAGACCCGGTGGCCAAGTTTGAGAAGGAGGCCATCGATGCCGCGCTGCAGGCAGAGGCGGCTGTGAAGGAGGTGCGGGGTGTGCGTGTGCATGGCAGGCGTTGGAGGGCCGGCAGCAGTGGCAGGGAAGGTGCCGGGACTGGGCTGCCGCGCCCCAACCCACTCCATGCCCGCCTGCTGCTGCAGGTAGGCCTGCAGCTGCTGCACGGCGCGGCAGAGGCCAAGGAGAGCCTGTCCTCCCTGGCCCACGGCCTGACCTCCTGGTGGAGCACGCTGGACCCCGGGGCCGACCAGGCGGCGGCAGCAGCGCCCGCGCCGGGCGGGCAGCGGGGCCAGGATGTGCAGCAGGCGGCGGAGGCGTTGGGCCTAGATGGCGGGGAGACGGTGCTGGAGTCGTTTGCCTGCCAGCTGCTGCAGACATACACCTGCTCCTCCAACTTCTTCACGCCCGTGCGCCAGGCAAGCAAGCCGCCGCCTGGGCGCTGCCTGCATGCGCACAAGTGCTGGCTACAGCTGGGCCCTCGCCGCTGGCCTCCACACCGCCTCTCAGACCTGCCCTGTGTACCTGCCTCATCCTGCTTGCAGATCGCTTTCCCCGGCAGCCTGCACGTGACAAGCCAGCGGCTGCTGTTTGCGTTTGAGGAGAAGGGGGTGGCGCCCATCAAGCTGCCCGGCAAGGCAATAAAGTCGGTGGCCAAGCACGCGGCAGACGCGCAGAAGGGTGGGTGGGTGCCCGATAGGCGTGTGCTGGCGCGTGCAGCAGCACTGCAGCAGATGCGATGCTTGGCGCGCTGGCTGCCGCCAGGCTTGACCCGCCTGGGCCTCTCCTCCCTGCCTGGGCCTCCCGGCGCCTGCAGGGCTGCATGAGCGGCTGGAGCTGCAGCTGGAGCAGGCGGGGCAGTCTCTGGTGCTCGCCCACTTCACGCTGGAGGGGCTCGAGCTGGACTCCGCGCTCGCCCTGGTGGAGCATTTGGCTGACGATGACTAGGCTGGGCGGCCGCTGGAGTGCACCGCGCTCCGCTTCTGTGCACCAGTGGCAGCAGCCGCCAGCCGTCCTCTGTACTCTCCTGCACTGCACTTGCCAATTCTCCCCGCTCGTACATCCTCCATCCCCTGCTGTGTTTGCCCTCCCTGCTTTGTACCTGCGGCAAGCACCTACCTACCTTCTCAGCTCCTGTAATACAGACTCGATTCGACTCATTGACTGCAAGCTTCATGCATCAAACAAGAGGCAGGGTAAAAGGTGAATGCCGGCGCGGTATGGCACCTGTTGGCCCGCGCTGGCGCTGGCGACCGCCAACGGGGCATCCAGCGGGGGGCATCCATGCCATGTAGTAACATGGGCAGCTGTCAAAAGGTTCATTTATCCGTCCTTCTTCTCGAGTACGCTCCAGGAGGGACAACCAAGGTGCGTTGTGCGTGCACTTCACAACCCAGCCCTGTTTCACGCTGCTTTAAGCTCCGCTCAGCGAGACCCAAAACATGTTCTTGTTGCGCAGCCTTGGTTCGGGCAGGAGGTCCGCAGAGAGCAGCAGCTGCGGCGGCGGTGTCGCCTCAGCCTAGCGCTGTGACGCCAACAGGCGCGCAGCGGCATGGATGAGCTGAAGAGCAAAGCGGCAGGCCTGCAGGACAAGCTGGCAGACATGTACGCAGGCTTCAAAACCATCGATCAGCAGGTACCCTACTGGCAGAGCAAGTTCGGAGTTGCGGGCACTCCGAACAATAAAAACGGACCTTTTTTATTGTTCGGAGTGGGTGCGCCAGGTATTTTCTGACTCAGGGGGGCAATTCGGACCAAGGTCTGCCAGCAGGGCAGGGGCCGCCCTCCTGCCGCCGCCCCGGACCGGCTGGCTCACTGCTTGATGGGGGACGCCTTTTTCTGCGCCATGAGGGGCGCCGGGTGGCTGCGAGCTTCAATTCTTGGCGCTAGGAGCACGAGAACATCACTTCTGCTCCTGACACGTCATGCAGGACATGCTGTACATGGGCCCAGAGCGGTTCGGAGTAGCCTCAGGAGGAATTTCTGACAAGTTCAGAGTGAGGAGCGCCAGAATTATTTTAACTCCGAACTTGCTCTGCCAGTAGGGTAAGTGCAGGGGGGTGGCGCATTGTTTCACTTTGTTGCATTATGCGACCTGCTGGTGCTGGTATAGTGTGTGGTAGGTGGCAGGCAACAGACTGCAGGCAGCAAGCTGTTGGCAGGCAGTAAGCTGTCGGATTGACTGGGCGGCCATGATTCCGGCTGCTCTTCTACGATGTTGCAGGGCCCGCAGGCAGTGCAGTGGGACGAGCAGTGGCAAGAGCAGGCGCGGCAGGTCGGTGCTGCGCACATCATGCTGAAGAGCGGCGCGGTGGGGCTCGACACCGCCGCCAACCTGTCGCATGCGGAGCATGTGATTGAAGAGCTGGAGCGGCAGATGCAGGGCATGCAGGCGCTATGCCCGCAGGATGAACCCAGGACAAATGAACCCGAGGCAAAGCAGCCCCCTCTCCTGCTGACCAACGAAGGGTCTAGAGTACCTGCCGCCTGATAGGGAGTCTACTTGTGCCTTGGGAAAGCTATTCACAACCACGATTCCATGAAGGAGTTGGCGGCTTTGCTGTTGCGGTCCAAACTCGTAGGCTTTCTTGTGTTGCCGCCTATCTAGCTCTGCATTTGGGTTCACTTCTATTCATTGTGATCCCTCCAAACGACATGCGCCTGGGCGCCGGCGCCTACGCGGCGCCAGATGGCGCACCCATGATGCCCATGTGATGATGATGATGCCCACATAGCGAGATAGCGGCGCTCGCCATTGACTCGACAGGTCTCTGTGACTCCTCTCTCGTCAAACTGCCTAGCAGGCTTCCAGCGGACTACCGGCGTACTCCACCACGGTGAGTTGCGTGCAACCCGGAACCCAGCCCTGTTTCAGCTGTAAAGTGCTCAGCTCATAGTGCGAAGATGCTGCATCGGACATCAAAATGTGCTGCCTCGGACAGGGCCTCGGACAGGGCAGGGCGCACAGCAGCGGCAGCGACGCACGCCGGCGGTGGTTGATGGAGGAGCTGAAGAGCAAAGCAGCGGGGCTGCAGGACAAGCTGGCAGATCTGCACGCAGACTTCACCATAGCCACGGCCGAGCGGCAGGCAAGTGCGGCAGCGGCAGCGGGGCGCGGCCGACTGGTCTGCCCAGCTCGCGCGTTGCACAGCAAGCTGCCCTGATGGCTGCTCTCTTGCCCTGGATTCAATACGCTGTGGAACGTGCAAATGCTGACATTTGCAGCCCCCCGAGGCTGATCGGTGGCAGGAGAAGTGGCAGGAGCAGGCACGGCAGGTTGGCGAGGCTCAGGTCATGCTGAAGAGCGGCACGTTGGCGCTCGACACACCCGCCACCCTCTCCCACGCGGAGCATGTTGCGGGGGAGCTGGAGCAGCAGCTGGCAGGCATCAAGGGCGGCGAACAGGGAACCAAGGGCAGCGCGGAGGGCACCGGCTGAGGGCACTGGCCGCGGCGGGACTGCGGCCGCCGCTGGCGGCGGGATGGGGCAGCAGTGTATGCATATGAACCCGCCCCTGCCCTCTCTGTCAGCTGAGCTCATGTGACTGCTGCTTCGTTCTGAGCCACTTTAGTATGATGTTGATCTACATTGGTCGATTAGAAAGTTTTTGGTCGATACCCAGACCTGCAGCAGGCCTCTAGTGAAAAGATTAGAAACTACCACTGCACCCTATGATGTGAAGCACACCACCAGGCTCAGACGAAGCATCAGTCACGAAGCACAGGGTGAACGATGGCGTCAGGCTCGATGTGCTGGCTAGCAGGAGCAGCAGCACGTGGACCTGGCAGGCTGCTGCTGCTGGCGCTGCTTGGGGCGGCGCTCCTGGCGCGGCCGGCGCGCCCGTCGCCGACGCCTGAGATCAGCCCCACCGTGAGCCCAGGCTGCTGCCCTCTCTGTGGTGGACTGCATCCCTTGATTGGACAGCGTTCGCCGGTCTCATGGTGCGTGGGGCAGCCCATGCAGGTGTACGTGGGCGGCATCCAGGACCTGAAGCTGGACTCGAGCGGCGCCTCCAAGTGCTCCTGCCTGGTGGACGGCGTGGCCGGCTACCAGGCCTTCACCCGTGCCCAATTCCTGGTCAGCCAGCTGTGGTGGGACAGCGGGCCGCGCGACCCGCCCCCGGGCTGGGCCGGCTGCGACGACTACGAGCTGTCAAGTGAGGCGGGGGCGTGGAGGGGAGGCGGAGGCTCGCGTGGGGTGACCGCGGCGCCTGTGCCACACTTGCCGCGCTTGCTGCTCTCTTTGGCACTCTGGCAAGCCGGCTGGCATGCTCCCTGCCATGCCCGGTGCTGCAGCATACTACTGCTTCTCGCGGTTCAACTCCACCGATGTGGAGTACTGGGCATACCAAACAGATCCCGCCACGCGCATCGGTGGGCTGGGGGGGAGCCCGGCAGGAGCACCTGCGCCCTGGGGGCCAGCGCTGCGTACCAGCCTGTCCTGGCCCACCGACCTGCCTGCCCACCTGCCCGCTCGTCTCCCTGCGCAGCCGAGCCGGTCACGCAGCCCCAGATTGCTGAGTTCAGCGGGCTGCTGGGGCGCTGCCTGGAGCATGCGATCGGCCTGGGGCTGGATGTGGCCATCAATGTGAGCGCAGCACAGCACAGCGCAGCACAGCACAGCACAGCACAGCACAGCACAGCACAGCACTGCTCTGGCCTGCACCAGCCACCTAGAGCAGCCGCGCAGGGTGCCGCTGCCCCCGCCCTGCGCGCTGAAGAGGCGCGCCACCCAGAGCGAAGCGGGCGGGCCGCTGGCCCCAGGGTGCCCGCTCGTCTTCTGCCAACCTTTTCTACCCCCACCCCCTGCCCCTCCTCCCGCCGCCCCGCGTCCTGCCAGGTGCACGCCGACGACGGGCGGGCGCAGAACGGGTGGCGCAACACGCTGGCGTTTGACCCGCTGCAGCCCGCCAGCGGCTTCTCCTTCTTCGACATCATGCTGGCTCCCATCGCCGACGCCCTCAACCTCGTGCTGCTCGACAACAGCACCGCCTGGATGTCTCTGCAGGCGCGCTGCGTGGCAGGGCCGCCTGTTGCTCAAAGCCGGCAGGGTGGCAGGGCAGCCCCCGCCTCACACACAAGGCCCCTGCCTGCTGCTGCGCGCAGGGCGAGATGGGCGCCACCGTGTTCCTCTACCCATGGCAGTGGGCTGAGGCAGCAGACATGGTGAGCGCTGCCACGGCCGTGCACAGCACTGATGACTGCTGCCACCGCGCTGCTCTGCTGGCCGCCAGCCGGCAGGTTGGCCACAGCCACACCTGCGTGCTGAGTGGAGGCCTGCCGTACCGCCCGAGTCGTGCAGGTGCGGGAGCGCATCGAGCAGGGGCGCCCTGAGCTGGCGGGCCGGGTCAAGCTGGGCCTGGGCATCAACAACTCCAAGCTGTGCGGCTGCGTGCTGATTGACATTGTAAACTATGACGAGTACCTGGCAGCCTTTGCGCCCCTGTGGCCCTCGGTGAGTGCGCTGGGCCGGCACTGGCATGGGTGGGTGGAGCAGGCGGCGGCCGGGGGGGCTGCGGGAGCTGGCGGTCAGGTGATGTTATGGTGGGGCCCTGCTTGTACCGCGGCTGCTGGCGCAGCGGCTGCAAGTTTGGCTGTGGCCGCTGCCGCCCACGTCCGGCTCGCCCGCCCTCCCACACCTGGCGCCGATGTGCTGCGGCGCAGATCGAGGGGTGGTTCGACCTGGCGGGCATCCGAGCCGCCTTTGAGGCCGTTGACTATGTGGGCATCAGCGCCTATGTGCCGCAGTCCCGCGTCGACTTCCAGCCCTGCGACATGGAGAGCCTGATGCGCAAGGTCGGTGCACTGGCAAAGAAAGCAGGGTCTGGGGGTGCGCAGAATGTGTGTGGGGCGGTGGGGTGGGCAAGGGATGGGGGCGTCGAGTCAGGGCTGGCTATCGTCGTCTTGAGTGGACGTGCTCACTGCTGCCCTCTGTGCTGCTGCTGCTGCAGATGGATGTCGAGTTGGCCTACTACAACCTCACCCTGAGGGAGCTGCTGGACATGGGTGGGCTGGCTGCATGTGGAGCGCCGCCAGCTGCCTGCCCGCCCCGCCTGCCGCCCGTGCCTCGCCTCGCCTGCCGCCCCGGCCCCGATGCCTCCTCTCCGCCCTCGCCTGCCTCCCTCCTCAGCTCTGCTTGTTCGCCTGCCTTCTCCCCACTCCTCCTTCTCTGCCCAGGCAAGGAGATCCACTGGATTGAGTGGGGAATCGGCGGCGGCGCCACCAACAACGGCGACACCCCCGCCGCCACGGCGCTGGAGGCGGCCTATTACCCCTACTGGGGGGTGTGGGGGGCCTACAACGTGTCGCGCGACCCCTGGCAGACGCCCGCCGTGCGGGACTACATGCGCCACTACATCCAGCAGACCAGCAGCTACCTCTTGCAGGTAAGGTAGTGGAACACACAGAGCGCTGCTCCGCGGCAGGGCCCTGCATCCCGTGACTGCTCCGCAGCCCACACTTGGCGGGCCGCTTGCGCCACCAACCCGTTGGCATGTGCAGGGCGGATGCGAGTACCGGGTGGAGGGTGTGTACCTGTGGACCACCGGCTCCTCCTGGGACATCATCGGCCTGGCCAACCCCGTGTACGGCAATGCCGGCAGCTTCAGGGATGAGGTGGCGCTGGAGACCATCCGCGCACACAACCAGGCGGTGCGGGAGCTGGAGGCTGAGGCTGGGGAGGGGGCGGCAGAGGACGCAGAGCCGCCCCTGCCGGAGCAGCCCGCGGTGGTGGCAGCAGACCAGCCGGCAGGCCCGCCTGCTCCCATGGGCGGCGCTGCTGCTGCCACCAGGGCCGGGGCCTGAGCTCGGCCGGTGCTGGCAAGGCGCAGCCGCCCATCCTCCCTCCCTCAACGGGCTTGTACAGATCCTACCCATGCATGTATTTGCTATCTATTGTGAATGAACCAGGTGTGCGAGATTATGTGCCTGCTGTTGCGTTGCATTTGCACTTGTTGCGTTGCACATTGTAAATGTAGTAGTTGCACTGGCATCACGCAGCCCTGCCATCTATGCTCGCCTTGCTGCTCTTCCTGGAACCACCCCTTTTGCTGCGGCCTGCGGTTGCGCTTCTACGGCTGCTGTTGCTGGATGTGACGTGTCTGCTGCTGCTGCTGCTGCTGGATGCGGCGCGTCTGCTGCTGGTGCGCCTCCTGCACTTGTTGCTGCTGCGGCGCCAGCTGCGGCGCCCGCATCCGGCTGCCGCTCAAGGATGCGAAGGTCCCTGCAGGCACAGCGGAAGTATCCTGACGCACATGGGAGCCGTGGCATGTTGGCTAAGGTACTGCTGGCTCGTGCACCCCGCAGCCATTACTGCCGCCCTACCACCAAGCCTCAACCCAGCCGTTCCAAACCACGTGTGTCCCGCATGTACCGCCCACCTGTCCTTCATGTACCGCTCCTCCATCTGCTCCCACAGGTCGCTGCCCTCCTCCCTCAGGCCGGCGCTGTACTGCAGCTCAGGGGCGGGCTGACCTGCAGGCCAGGGGGCAGCGCAGGCCAGGCGGCAGGCAGCGGGAGGGTCTGAGATGTGACCCTTCCCTTTTCGTTGCCCGGGGCTTGACCCCACCCCCCTACCAGCAGGCACACGCGTCCAGCCACCACAGAGACTTCCTCAACCCCCCCCCCCCCCCCACACACACACACATACACACACACCTGGCTGCGCCAGCCCCGCAAACACAAAGCCATTGGACTTGTCGATGGCGGCCACCAGGTGGCGCATGGCGTCGCGGTCCTCGATGGCCAGCGGCTGGAAGGACAGCAGCCCAAAGTCCTCGATCACCTGTTGTTGCAGGCAGGGGGAGGGCAGGTGGGGGTGGTGGGGCGTGTGCCGGCGTGCGTGTGCTTGGGTGTGTGGGTTTATAGGGTGAGCAGGCGGGCCAGCACGCGGCCAGGGTGCGGGCATGCGCCTGGCTGGCTGACCAGAGCGTGCGCAGCAAGGGCAGCGCCCACCTCGCACAGCTCTGCCGTCATGCGCTGGAACCTGGGCGGGAAGCTGCCTTCCATGGCCTCCGCCAAGTGGCCCAGCCCCTGCGCCTGCGGGCGGCAGGTCCCAGGGGGCGCCAGCGCAGGCCAGGCAGCGTGTTGATGGCGCCACCAGCGCAAGGCGAGCCTGAGGCTTGCTGTCGGTCCTGCGGCAGGCTGTCAGGGCAGGACAGGCACGCCAGTGCCTGCTGCTGCTGCTGTCACCTCCTCCCCTGCCTGCCCCTGCCCCCGCTGCGCCCCACCTGGAGGTAGAAGTCCAGGCTGAAAGCCAGCTCGCCGTACTGCTCTATGAGGTCCATCTTGGACAGCACGTTGACCTGGGGGAGGCTGGGGGAGGCAGGGGGGGTGAGAAGGGCCGCACGGCGGATTGGCACGCGGCAGCCTGGGGTGCCAGCGATTGGGCCGGCATGGGGAGGGGCAGCCGTGGCAGGCGGCGAGCGCCTGGCCTCCCACCTGAGGCAGCTCCAGGTGCAGCATGGTGCTCAGGCTCAGCAGCAGGGCGCTCAGGTACTTGGCTGGGTCGCTGCGGCCAGGGAGGGAGGGAGGGAGGCCCAGGGTACAGCGTGTGTGGTCGATGCGGCAGAAGGCAGGCAAGGAGACCTGGGAGGGAAGGGATGGAGGTCCTCAACCTCCTGCCTCCTGCCTCCAGCCGCCATCGCCTCACAAGACAGCAAACGCCTGGGCTTGCAGCAGCAGCAGCAGCAGCAGCCACCACTCGCCTGCACAGGTGCGCGTCCACCAGCTGTACCGCGGTCAGGCGGTACTGCCACCGCCTCGTCAGCACATCCAGGATGCGGCGCAGCGCGCCGTGCAGCGTGAAGAGCTCCACCTGGCCGGGCAGGTCGAACAGCAGGTAGCAGCCCTCTGCGCAAGCCGCGGGGTCAAGGCAGACAGCCAGTGGGCATGCATTGGGGAGCCTGCACTGTTCCATACCCACCCTGCCTCCCCTTCCTCTGTCTGCACACCACCTACCATCCTCCTCTACAACCGCACCAGGCACCTTGGCCCGCTCCCTCCCAGCAGCCCCAGCCCCAGCCCAGGCCCAGCACCACCCGCACTCACCCTCCTCCAGCGGGGCCAGCCGCTCCGCCAGCCAGTCCAGGTTCCTCTCGAGGTACTCCAGGCAGTACACCAGCCCCCCGTTGGGCCCCAGCCCCAGCTCCTCCTGCACCGCCTCCAGCGACACAAGCTCCCCCACGTCCACGGCGGGTGTGTAGGGCAGGGCGGCGTCGTTGGCGGGGTCCAGGTTGACCACTGCCACGCGGCGCCCCGCCAGGCTGAGGAACTGCTGCATGCCGGCGCAGTAGGTGGTCTTGCCCGCGCCGGGAGGGCCCACCACCACCTGGCCCCACACCGGCGCGTCGGGGGAGCGCTGCAGGTGGCCGCAGGGGGCTTCGCAGGAGTGGTTGGGTGCGGCGGGGGCGGGGCGACAGCGGTGGAAGCCGCGGCGGCGGTGGCGGCGGGAGGCCCGGGGGTTGGGTTGCATGCGTGCAGTCCATGCCGCACTGCACTGCGGCACACCATCACCTTGCGCTGGGCCGCCACAGCCTGAGGCTGTGCACCCTCAGGGCCACTCGACATGCCGGGACGCAGGGGATCGGCCACGGGCCAAGTCGATCTCGATTGAACTTGTGAAGGGATCAGACGGATGGGCAATGCAAGCAGCCTGTCGTCTGTACAACCAGCTTGCGGGCAACACATGCTTTGCCCTTACTTTCAACCCTGCCCCAGGGGCCCCAATCCTCTTTCTGAGCTGTTGCAGACCCTCTGTACAGCCTTGATAAAGTTGTCCACGCGTTCCCCGGGCGCAAGCTGCCGAAGCTACAACCAGGGCGCTCGGAAAGGCTGACAGCAGCACCGCAGCAAGCGGCAGCGCCATGTTGGGATAACAGAGCATCAGCAGATCTTAGGTTGACATCGCCGGCAGCGCGGCATGCTGGGGCTTGCTGGCCGGCGGCCTCTTGCCGCCGCCGCTGCCGCCGGCGCCAGGCAGCGGGTGCCTCGTGGTGCCGCAGCGCCTGCTGCTGCTAGGCTGGCAGCCCCGCTAGCGCAGCATCGATGGGGTCGACCGCTGCAGCAGTTGTCAGGCCTGCAGCGTGCAGCGCAGGAGTTGGCGCAGCCGCACCGGCACCAGGCACGGCGTCAGCGGCCGCAGCAGGTGCAGTGCCAGGCATCCCGGGCCGGCGCTCGCAGCAGCCCCAGCAGCCGCTCCGCCAAGGCGCTGCTCATAAAGGTGAGGTGGGGCGGGG